ACATTGTCGAAGAAATAACGGTTGAAAAATTATACAAAATTATCATAGAATGGGCCACCGCTCCCTTTCCCATGGGTGTTTTAAGAGTCAACTAAGGGAATTTACTGGACGAGAGATAGGTCCAGCAGCGTCCCGCTTTAAGCATCACCAAAGTATAGCGATTATCAATACGCCTGCAAACGTGGTAACTATTGGCAAAACCTCCACCCCACCACCAAAACCAGTAGGGGGAGGTCTATGTGAACATAGATAGCAGACAGTTAACGATGATGATATGATGAAAGTAAACTAACTTTACACTAGCTTTGGTTACTAATAAGACCGCAATTTTCCTGTTTTAAGATACAATACACGGCGTGTTCAGCTTGTTAGAATATTGAGTTAGAATGGGAGACGCAAAGTTTTTTGGCGGTTTTGAATTTTTTATTCACGTAATTTCTAAATTATTTTCTATCTATAGCAAGGCTAGATTCTCACGTCTCGCTAAAGATTTCGGTTTCACTTGTATTATTTGTCTAAATATCTTTATTGATTAAATCAAATTATTGTACGAAATATTCAACGCTAGTAGCATTGTTTACTATTAACCCAGTCAATAGTATTCACTTCACATCTTGAGGATTGGCTAAAAAATATATACATACATGCTCCACGCCTGTCTCTCATTAGGGTAGGCAGAAACAATGGAACGTCAAATGCTACGATTCAAACAAACCTCTTTCGCTTCCTCCACATACATCAATCTTTTCATACACGCTCGCCGGTTACGGGTACATTTAATTTGGCCCTTCTTCACCACGCCGCCTATTTGGTCGACATATATCTGTCTAGGAGCGGCCCCTATCGACATCTCCATACATTCTTACTCGACAGAACTCTTTAACTAAATAATATTGTTTCTTTTACTTTCACTAAAGAATATTTTTTCTCAATTTTCAAGCCTATATATCCCACAAGAGATACTAAATTTTAATATTCACATCTCAGAGCGGTACTTCAACTCCCAGTTGACTATCGTATCACTTTTGGCTTGACGCCATGTTGTAAAGAATGTGCGAAACTTTGAGATTATTAGTCTCAAATGAAAAAAACTTCTCTTCCTCCGTTATTTTACTTTTATATTAACTGTGCCTGCAAATTTGTTCGCGTGACCAGGACATATTTATTAACTACGGTAAAAAGTAAACTTGCATGCGAATAGCGAAGCATTCGACTCGTCTAATGGAAGAAGACTTCGTACAAATGTCGTTTGTTTGGGTACCTTTATTCCATTTGTGTTTTTTCCGCTGAGCAGTTGTATTTGTATGGCTGTTATATAAACTTTCAGATAAAGAAGTACCTATTCTGTTTATAACTGACGGAGTTTTTTTTTACAACACAGGGGGCAAACGAGCATACGGCTCACCTGATGGTAAGTGACTACCGCCGCCCATGATCACCCACAACACCAGCGGCATTGCAGGTGTGCTGCCGGCCTTTTACGTTACGAGAAAACTAAGGGAAAAAATAGAACCGAAATGAGAACATACTGCTTTTTGGAGTCGATTGAAAAATCTCAAGTCATTGTAATAAAAGGAATGTCTCTAAAGGCTTTTTTCAAGCAGTTGTAATACAAATTCCTAAAAACTATCTTGTGAGGTATTTTATCGTTCAAGATAAACAAAGTTCAAGGTGAAAGCCCTAGTTAATAGTTAATCTGATATAGAACATAAACACGGAGGGTCTGTTACATTTAAATTGCACCCATAAATCACGCACAAGTAGTTCCATACAATTATGGTGCGTATTCTATACACGGCATGGAGTCTATGTACATACATGCATATCGGAAATTTTATGAAAATCTTCTTTAGGTTCACGACGCTTTCATCATTATATGCGCTGTGATGCAAAAGCAAAACGACAGATATATATAATAAGTTCATAAAATTCCCGTTGAAGATATCGTAAAAATATGAATATAAGTTTTCAAACTTGAAACAAGTAGCTTTCTGTATATATATATATATATATATATATATATATATATATATTTATTTATTTATTTATTTATTTGAAAGATACAATATTAATACATACATATGAATATGTATGTATTAATATTGTATATTATAATAAACATGCACACACACACACATATATACACACATACATATATACATATGTTAAATACAACATATAAATATCAAATAAAAGAGAACACAATGATGACTGTCTTCTAATCATTTTTTATATTTAAACAATATTGGAAAGAGAATCTTTTTTCGATACATGTTTTTTTTATTATAAACTTTTTATAAGTTACTTATCTTGTTAATAAAGTCGAATATCCTACTAATCTTATAAATGCAAAAGTTTGTGAGGATGGATGGATATTTTTTAATTTTTTACATAATAGAATTTATTCCAACTTAGCATATACAGTACATAGGATAATTTATGTATTGGTTTATGCGGCTGAAACTGCAGGATATAGCTAGTAATACAACAATGCTTAATATATATAAACATAAAATTATTCAGATTTATCGAGCACAAATGGCTGGTTATATCAGTAGAAGTCGTCCTTAACGGACGTATAGGCGAAATATATATATCAAATAGGCGACGTGCTGAAGAAGGGCCAAATTAAAAATACCCGTAACCAGCAAGCGTGTATGAAAAGATTGATGAATGTGGAGGAAGTGAAAGAGTCCTTTTTTTTATATACAACTTAGAATGGCAAACAAGCTGACGGTCCACCTGATGGAAAGTGGTAATCGTCGCCTGTAGACATGTTCAGTACCATGGACATAACAGAGTATACTGTTTCGCCCTTGATACCCCCCATGCGTTGCCATTCCTGAGGACTCAGGTGTTATTCCTCTGTACCCAGTAAATTCACGCCATATCCCACCCTTCAAACCGAAACACAGCCATGCAAACACATCTGTTTCACGGTTGAAACACAAATGGGACAGAGGTACCCAAGCAATCGACTTTTGCACAAAGTCTCCCTCTGGTCCTGTTTGAATCAAAGCATTTGGCGTTCTAATGTTTATCCAAATTGGAAACAGGCATGATATATATCCTGCGAGGTCCTGCTGGACCTCGCCATTTTGTTGTTTGGAGAGTCCACCTTTTATCTTTGTACCTCACTATATGACCTACCCATCTCCACTTCTGTTTCATACTATACTAAAGAGCATCTGTTATTTTGATTTTCTTCCTAATATTAGTGTTTCTTATTTTGTAAAAAAGAAAAAAATGGAGTTGTTATCATGTTATAATATTTTTTTATTATTCCAATAGTGTTGGTATTTAAAAAAAAATGGGTTTTTAATAAAATGGATTTTTTAATATAAGTCATTATTTTTCGAACTTCAAGGTAAACGATCCCAAAACTAGTCTCGTATTCTTGACAAGTTATCAGAGACTGTTCGCGATAAGAATACATTGACGAATACTTGTAAATATCACGTTAAGGTTGAGAAAAATTGTTTGAAATAAAGTATTACATTTTTTGTTTTAATTTTTTTTTCTGTTATTATAACTTTGAAGTCATTTTAAAATTTTGCTATTTTTAAAGAAAATAATGGTTTTCTAGTAATCTGAGTATTTTAACAGAAGTCACTGTTTTTTCCCTTTAAAGTCCTTAGATAATCTTAAAACTTGACGAGTCAATAAAACCCAACTAATTTTGAGTTAAAGCTTTGAAGCACCCTTCAAATCGAAACACAGCTATGCAAACACAATTGTTTCACCTCTGTCCCATTCGTTGAAACACGAATGGGACAGAGGTACCCAAATAATCGACTTTTGTACAGAGTCTCCCTCTGAAGAGTCTTGGTCTAGAGGAATCCAATATATATCGGAGTATACATATATTTTTTTAATGGAATGTAATGAAATGGCAACCCCGCCTGCGTTATCGCTTTACACTGGTGGGACACCAGTGAGAGATGATAAAAAAAATGAAAGAGGTCATTTAGCCTATCGTGAAGAATACATCTGGGATTCAGCACGATGGTTTCCAGGGGGAACCACGTGGAGGTCGACCTGCCAGGGTATATTACTAGCAATGTGACAGGCAGCCCACATTACTAACAATCCCTTCCCCCCCAGTATCCATATTACCGTGCCTATTAACAATTATGTGTAGTATATAAGTAAGTAAGTAAGTAAAGTGAAATATATATTTATTTCTCTCACAAAAATAACAACATAATAAAATTTACAGCTTTATAAATTACAATTTAAAACAAACTTTGTGAGAGTTGTCGGTACTAGGATAACCCGTCTTACAGATCACCAGGCTCCCAAACTCAAGGACATCGGGGGGAAAGGCATTGTTAGCAATGGAGTTTGACAGCCCCATTGCTAGCAATATACCCTATTAGGTCGACCTCCACGTGGTTCTCCCTGGAAACCATCGTGAACAATTCTTGTTGAATTTGTCACGATGGGCTAACTGACCTACTTCATCCTCACCTATCATCATCCTTCACTGGTGCCCCGCCGGTGTATATCGATAGCGCAGGTGGGGTTACCATTCCATTATCACCCATTAAAAAAACTCAAGGACATCTATTTTACTGGATTTGTAAAGGTAAGCGTATACAAGTTAATAAATGAAATTAAAATATATATATATATATATATATATATATATATATATATATATATATATAATCTACGTGTATGTACTAGTATATAAAAATAATAGCTTATAATATTAAGAACAGAAATATAGTATTCTAAGGGCAAGGAATATTTTTTGTACAATGTTGACCTCAACTTTGTATAGCTAAGAATTATTAATTAAGTTAAAAGTAGCATATATTCAATCATTCACATCAATTCTAAATACGACGTGTTTTCAAATTTTATAACAGATTTTCTTCTGGGTAAAAATAGAATGACATACCTACCTACCCCTTGGTATGCACATATATATATATATATATATATATATATATATATATATATATATATATATGTTAGTAAAGATAACAGCTTACCATATTAAGAAGAAGAGTGTGGTGGGCCAGGTGCAAGGGATCATTTTGGGGAGATGATGTGACCGTGGTCGGATTGGGGTCATCCCATTGCCGCTGAGTTACCTGAAACAAAAGTAATCATTTTAGTAAAACCGTATTCTTTTTTTCAATATTTAGAGCTTATATATAAATAAATAAATATATATATATAGCATGTATGTTTTTTTTTATATGGACAAGAAATAATAAATAAATAATGTATATTTTATTTGAAAAAAAATATTCAGTACATTATCCTACTGTTAAGCAATCGGGTACATGGTACAAGTATGTAGTTAATAATTTAGTAATAGAATAAATTCACTGCATGTCAATCGATATTGAAATGACCCACTGACCGATACGGCCTGCATATAAATGCATAATAGTCAATGTGCCCGTCTTCGAAGACATGTGAAGAACTAAAATAACTTCGTGTTAACAAGAAAAATAATTAATTTCTACAATACGCGGCGCTCGTGTGTATTTTTGTGTTTATTATATTTATACACCGGATAATACACAAAACAAATAGCGAGACAGTTACTAAAAATATTTTACTAAACTAAATGTTAATTTAAAGAAGTCCAAATCATTGGTTAGTTCATTAGAATTATTTTGTTTAATTCTGCTACTATTACTATGTGTGCGACTGCCAACACTACTTTTTATCCTATCAGTAAACGGTTACGCTGGACAAAGTCGCAATAAAAAACAGCTATATCATCTTCTCAGCAGTTAATTGTCCATTGCTGGACATAGGCTTCTCCCATAGAGGGGAGATTTGCTAGTCGCCACACTATGTAGAAGAGTTGGCAATTGTTTTAAGCGAAACGCTGCTGCCTATCCCTCGACCATTACGTTTTCTTATTAGTCGCCCCTTACGACAACCACAGGAAAGAAGGGGATGACCTATTCTATACTAAAACGATACGGCAAAAGCTGGATGTATGTAAATGTTAAATAATAATAGAAATTATTGAAATAGGTGTTATTTTGCGAAGTCCATAACAATTATTTTGTTTAATTCCGCTACCATTAATTTTAGACTCCGAGCAGCAATCCAATAATTTGCCTGAAGATGCTTCGATAAATAGTGAAACATAGTATTCGAAGATTGAGGGCTCATTTGGAACGTTGTAAAACTTCTGGTAGTAATAATGGTAGTTAATCTTCTAGTGTTGGCAGTTACACAAATGTTAATTAATGGTAACGGAATTAAACAAAATAATTCTAATCAAACAATTAATAATAGAAATATACCTGTTTTATACCAATACAGATATACAGTCTCCGATGCTCGCTATATTCTATCGCATGCAAGATACTGCTGTTTGCGGTTCGCATTGGATTCGGAATAGCACCTGATCACAGCGATGCGTTAACTTTGAGTACCCGATATACCGATAATAGATGCCATTATATAGAAATGAGATGAAGATATAATACCCATTTACCGGGGAATAGGAATTGCTTACAGCTCCATTGCTAGTAATATATTTTAATAGGTCGACCTTCACATGATTCATTCTGGACACTGTCTTGATTAATTTTTATGGAATTCATCACGATGGGCTAACTAGTCTGCATTCATTCTCATATATCATCTCTCACTAGTGCCTTGCCAGCGCATACCGATAGCGCGGGCGGGGTTACCATTATTTTATAACCCATAAAAATATCCATATACCTGTAAATTGCTTTCATATCATCGATTTCTATCGCATTAAGTATTTGTTTTACGAAACCGCCGCGTAATGGACTTTCTTGGCTTTGACGCATTACTTCAATTTGATGAAATGGTCTATTGACGAAGTTTCTATTTTATTATTTACTAGCGACCCGTCCCGGTTTCGCACGGGTGCAATACAGACTCATTGTGGTGTAATATTGGATTATTGTAACCATTTTAAAAGCTGCTCATTTGAATATATATTGTAATTATTTTGTTTAATTCCGCTATCATTAATATTGTGTGACTGCCAACACTGGAATATTGGCCAACATTATTGCTGCCAGAAACTTCTGTAGTAATTTCTACAAGATAATACCTATTTTTTTTTATATTAAAATGATTATACAAACCTATCTGTACATGAATGCCAATATTGACTTTCTGTGGTAATTATTTTAATATTTTTCAACATTTTCTCTCTCAATCGACTTGATTTCTTTCAACATCTCGAAAAATAATCATTATATATATTTTAATATTGTTTTAAGACCTAATATAACTCGAAATTGTACAGGTCCTTGAAGAAAAGTTGGGAATACTCAGTGGAAATATCTGGTATCAAGTTATTATATGACAGTGATTTGTAACTCGCGCCGGGGAATTTTAATGGCGACTTTAAGTAATATTCTAAGTTTTAGCATCAGCTAATGAAAATACTATAAGAAAAGTAAATTTTAAATACAAATAGGGACCTCGATTTATTTTCTATTTAGCGATAAGGCCGCCCATTGTTGCCTTTTTATCTTACTTTTATTTATTTAAGTTTATATAATTAATTATTTATCTTGTTTGTGTACATATTAGGTACTACTTATACTACACTACAAGTACGTATTAATTCTTATAATCTGTATCACTCTTCAAAGGGAACACTAAAGAGTTTTCAATGAATCATTCATTCGATAATTCTAACATAAATTGGTATTAGTCGTATTACGATTATTTTAAAACTAGCGATCCGCCCCAGTTATTCTTGAGCAAACTAATAAATTTACATTTCACCTTTAACAGGCAATTTTTGATACTCTGGAAACAGTAATGGCTGTATAAATAAACGGTACATATATCTTATGAACTTTCGTAACTTGTCTTATGCATGCACACAGGTACCGGAGTGTCTTGACTCCTCCCTGGGGCAGAACATGATCTATCTGATTATAATTGTCCACAACTGGACGTGTTTGCCTCCAACTTGCCGGAGTTTCGTCGAATAACAACAAAGTGTTTGTGTTCTGAGATTTAAGATATAGATATTATTATTGTAATGAGATTTAAATGTAATTAATATTATTCATGTTGGCGACAGACCTCTTTTTATATAATTTACCTTTTTAGAATTATATTTAAAATGGGTGACCTATTCTAACGATTCTTTGTCTGAGAGACAGATCAACTCAGTGCTGACCACAGAACGCGAGCCCGTGGTCTCGCCTGGCGTTTGCGCCACCGGTATGGCTGGTGTCGCAGCGCGCGAGCACGTGCCCCCTTTCGCGCCTGTTCAGTCGGTATTGGAGGCGCATAAGGTACTGAAATTGGTCGGGCGCGCGCATGAATACTCGCGCACCACGGCTGACGCCGGCGTTTCTTATAATATTAACAACTCTAGTTCGCGTCATAATTCACGTCGCTCATCAACCTCTATTCAATCGCAACGACTTGCCGCGAAAGCATTACATGCACGTCGTTTAGCCGAATTAGAGGCCAATCTTGACCGCGCCGCAGCTGAGCGGGAACGCGCTGCAGCTGAGCGGGAGCGTATCGTAGCGACTCTAGAACTAGAGGCTGAATTAGCGGCTATTGATGAGGCCGCCAGTACACACTCACAATCGTCTAGAAACTGTAGAATAAAAAAATGGGTGACCTATTCTAACGATTCTTTGTCTGAGAGACAGATCAACTCAGTGCTGACCACAGAACGCGAGCCCGTGGTCTCGCCTGGCGTTTGCGCCACCGGTATGGCTGGTGTCGCAGCGCGCGAGCACATGCCCCCTTTCGCGCCTGTTCAGTCGGTATTGGAGGCGCATAAGGTACTGAAATTGGTCGGGCGCGCGCATGAATACTCGCCTGGCACCGCTGGCGTATCAGCCGTGGTGCGCGAGTCTGCGCCTGTTACCGCGCCGGCCCTAACTACCATTGTGTCTTCGAATGCCCACGGCATGACATCCTCTCAGCACTGCGGCTATGGAGCGCAGCAGCCAGACGCTGTTGCTTCGTTGAAAGCCTTCAACGAAGCCCACGAACTCCACTTCAAGTCGCCGATGCCGCCTATTCATAACTCCTATACACGTACATACACTTTAGGCACACAAAACGTATCATTTAATTGTACAGAAAATAAAAATGAGCGCATAGCCTTTAACACTCTTCATCATCAACCCAGTGATTTCTTGAAATTGGCTGAGCTCACTGATGTCGCTCGTGGAAACCCTAATTCGGGTAATGTAGTTAGCCTACCTATGTTTTCCGGTTCGGCGCCTTCCCATTGGCTATTATTATTATTCAAATCATTTTTAAATTCCAAACATTTGTTCATGGCGACGGAAAGCATAGGTTTGTCGAGCTCTCTCTCTGCTCTCCGTGGAGCCGCTCGTGACGCTGTTATTTCTCTTCTGACTTTGTCACAAGACCCAGAAGAGATCATGGCGGCTCTGCAAGAGCAGTTTGGCCAGCCTGACCTTCTGATACGTCAACTAGTATCACGAGCGAAAGGCATGGCCAAGCTGCTTGCATCTGATGGTGGTAAGGAACTACACCAGTTAGCTTGTGCGGTACACAATTGTGTCCACACCATAAATATGTTAGGTTCTGTGAAGTTCCTCGCCTCCCCAGAGTTGTTCAAATACATCAACGATGGCGTATGTTATAACTTTATCTCCCCAAAAGGTAAGGTAGTGTCATCTATCGTAGCTGCTGACCTATTTAAAACTTCTGCTGTAAACGATAGATGGCATTGGGTTAAAAATAATTATTTTAGTGGAAATTTTTATCACGAGTTGCCTTGTAGCCGACCTAATTTTATCCAATGCCTTTTGAGGCCACCAAGAGGTAAGGGAAAAGTAGAGGAAGAACTTGCCTCTATGACTGTGGCACACGTAGACAGTTGGAGCTACAGACGGCTCACATGGCTACTCGATTTACAATTTTTATCCTGGAAACACATCATTGAATGTTTTTTGATATAGATGTCATTGGCTCTACAAGCCAATGACACTGACATCTCCGGTGGTCGCGAATCCTTATCATTTAGTCTTATGAATTCGGTTGATTAGGACAACTGTTCGTGCACATTATTGTGCCAAGATTTTTTGGTTTTTATTAGAAAAGCCTCCAAATTTCAAAATTATAAAGC